AGAGGTCACCGAAACGACGATCTCGTGCTCCTTTCCGCTCCATGGCATCCAGTAGGCGTTCAGCAGGTCGACGAGTCTCGCTGAGCGATGTCGGCGGCGGTGAAGTAAATGGCAGCCTCACCATGTATCGTCCACTGGACGTGCGTGTGACCGTGCGCACGTAGATGTCCTCGCATCTGGCTTCATCGGCGGTAAGCGGTGTCCCAGCCACTGGCTCGTGTTCCTGCTCCCAGAAGCGTCGAACCATGTCAGCGAGGTCGTGGTCTGCGGTGCACTGGAACGTGCTGCGATGTCCTTCGGTTGCTGCTGCATCGTAGCCCCCGGACAGGATCCATCCTAAGCTCGTCTGTTGGGCGATCGGCATCCGTGATCCGCCCTTGCGAAGACCTTCCTCGAGGATCAATGCGTAAACTTCTGCTCCAAGAAGTAACTCCGCAGGATCGTCGTCCAGGAAGCGCGGGTCGGCCAGTCGAAGTCCTTGGATGTGAGGCCAGCTACGATCTTCGCGTTGAGAGGTGCCTTGCTGCAATGAGATGCGAGGCAGCACAAAAGCAACCACGCGGAGCTCGACATTGGTCACGTCAGATGTGATGTCTAGCGTGACCTTGCCACGCGCTGATCCAGAGCGAGTCCCTCCGATGCCAAAGATGGACAGATCTGTTGAAGCTCGAGGCAGCCGAAGACGCTGAGCCAGTGCCTCAGAGATGATGGACACCTCGGAGCACTGGTCTATCAAGACTCGAACCTCGTGTGGTGATCCGTAGCGATCAGCGATCTTGACGCGAGCGGTTGCGAGGAGGACGGCCTTGTGTGTTTCAGTTTGCCGTGCCGTGGCCAGTGTGGTGGCAAGTGAAGTGGCCTCAGCAGATGGTGTTGATGTGGCTGCCCCGTGCAGCATGGTGTGGTGTCGCGCGTTGCACGTGAGGCAGTTCCTTTTTGACTGACACCGTGCTAGGAAATGATTGCCTAGGCAGTTGAAGCACAGTCGGTTGGCCTCCACGAACGTTTTCCGCTCAACCGCGGTCTTGGCCTTGAAGCCCTTGCACGTCATCAGTGTATGGTTTTCACGGCACAGTACACACTGAGGTGAATCTGTGCCTTGGTGCTTCGTGACGTGCGCTTTGACGAATCGTGATGTCTCTCCAGATCCCTTTGTGACACTCCTCGGTCGTGCGGCGTTGAGTGTCAAGATCCGTCGACTAATGAAGTCGAGAAGTGCCTCGTTCCGTGGTGGTTCGGTGGGGTCTGAAGTGGTTGACTCCCATTCGAGACGAGTGCGTGCGTCGAACAATTCGACGACCATGTGGTTGAACAGATCCATCCCGTGCGAGTTGATAGGACGTCCGATGCTCTCCTGTGCGTTGACTGCGGCGGTGACAGCGTTGTGAATGCGGCTCAGCTCCTCGGCGGTATCTCCCTTCATCTTTGGCACGGCGGTAAACGTGGCAAAGTTGGAGCGGATCAACTCTCTTTTGTTATTGTAGTGCTTGTCCAAGATTGCCCAAGCGCGATCGTAGTTGTCACTCGTGACAGGTAGTGACTTTATCAACTTTTCAGCCGGACCTGTCAGACACGAGCGGAGGTGATGAAGGCGCTCAATGTTCGAGATTGAATTGCTGCTCACGACTGACAGGAAGAGATCGCGAAAGGATGGCCAGTCAGCGTAGGCGCCAGAGAACGGCGGCAACTTGATGCGCGGCAGCGAAGACTTTGATGCGACGTCGACGGATGGAGACACGTTCGGCTTCCGAAAATGTTCGGTATAACTATCTAAAGTACTGCGTTGTGCAACGTACAGATTTTCCGTATCGCCATGTAACTCCGACTTGTAGTAATCGCTCTCGCAAAATTTTTCTTTCAGAGCCGCTCGAATGAGATCATGCTGTGTCTCGAATTTCGTCCACAGCTGATCTAAGATTCTGGTGCGTGTGGATACGGCACTGGCGGTGATGTTGGTGGTGCCCAGCTTCTTCAAATATTCCACGGAACGTGAAATGCGGACCTGGATCTCACGTTGACAGTCGATCAACGTGTTCACATCCATGGTGAACTAAGAGCGCCCACGAACTACACGAAGTCACGTTCACAAACTTGCGGGTGCCGGCGAGAAGTATCCGGCTCGAAGGACCAGAAATATGTTCGCGAACGCGCTGCGTGAACAAAGGATCGCGCTGCACAAAGGCTGAGTCACTTTTTTGTAAAACAAAGACTTTAATAATATCACACACGTATTGACAAAATACTATAACAACTTATTACAAAACCTTAATTATCTTTACAGTGAAATCGGAATCAAAAATCAAAGTGCGGAATAGCGGCGGTCGTCAACGAATTTTGCGGTTTATCTGATAAGCGGTTTGCGATATGTTTTCACGACGGAAAAGCGATAAAGCTGGCAAGCGGGGTGAGAGCTCCTCATTTATAATTTCCGGAGCGGAGCCCACCTTCGTGTGACGCGCCAATAATTTTGCGTCTTTTTAAAGTTGCGCGAGGTGACCTGAGCGTATTACGCGTAATTGGCCGCTGTCAAATTTGACAGAACAACGGCTGTTAGAAAGCATGCGCGAGCTGGCAATCACGATGATTATTGGCGAAACGAGGCGCCCGTGAGAAGCCGCGCATGCTCAAGAAAATATAATTATTCGGCGGAACGGTTGCGACACCGTTAATTGTTTATATTTCGAGCGTGTTTTTATACGACAGGATAATTTGTGTCGCGATATGTTTTCCAGAAAAAAACATATAAAAAACGATATGCCTGTTGACTTGCGATCGGAAGCGAATATTCTAGAATATTCCATTTAAAAATATAATATTTTATTACACAAGTAGTTTTCTATTATGCGTTTCAAAATGAAGTGGCTCCGCAAAAGTAGCTCAACTGAAATTCTGCATTGACTGTGTATACGATTAAAATTTCTTTGGGCCTGTGTCAAATGTCCATTATCCCGATATGGAGTAATTAATTGGAGAAGGCATGGATATGCAGCATCTCCAAGAAGTATGCTTCCATCTAAAATAAAAGCATGTATATTTAAAATTAACAGCTAAGGCTAAGGCTGCTTTTTGATATTCATTCTGCTAGTTGAAAATCTATATTTTATATTATGTACTACAGATTTATAATACTGGCAGTAAATATCAAAACGTAGCCTATGAAAACATTTACAGTGAAGTATATATTTTAATCATAAATCTTACAGATATGGCAATGCATAGTCAACCACATCTACATACATAGAAATATTGAAAAATGTTTCTTTTTTTAATCTCCTCCGGACTTTCGAATACAGAAACTGTTGACGCATGTCATAAATTTGTATAATCAATAGACTCTTATATTAATCGCTCGTATATCAACGGAAAGGTTTGATCGTTCGAAAAGACACACGACAACATTATCGACCTTGTTCACCATCCCATGTGATAAGAGTCACGCTGTCACGTGTACATTTTATTTACTCCTATTCTTTCGTCGCTCCGATTCGCCGAAACAAACATCCGATCCCGAGAAAGAGAGGATTCCGTGACGAAAACTCGGAACGCTCCCGAAAACCGAGAATCAGATCTCTGCGAACCGTGCTATCGATCAGCTGCAAATACAAGTAAACATATGTTCGTTGCTATAATCACTTTCCTCTCGGAGCGAGCCTTCACGAGGCTGTACAAGCCACCAGTCGATCAACAATAATTTGAATTAGAGCGACGCCGTCGCGCCTACTAATATCGACAACATTTTTTGGTCCTTCGAGCCGGATCGCTAACGAGAGAAGACGACAAGTCGTGAAGTACATCATCCAATTACATTTTGGCTGACTTTGATCACGACCTACGTTGTTTAACGCAGCAGCCGCCATTCCAATAATGGCTACCACCGCAAAGCTTTTGGAGCAACAGCTCGACCTTGTTAGATCGGTTGCAAATGCCGTATCTAATTTCAAAAAACTCGGCCACGCCAAGATGACGTCCACCGTGGCTGCAAACCGGATGGAACGCGTCAAGGAACAGTTCCGCTGAAAAATCTAAAACGTCCCGTCGATACGTGGGACGATGTTCTCGTGTTCCTCGTTTCGCAAAAACTCGACAAAGCTTCGAGAAAAGCGTGGGAATTAAAAATGAGCGAATCGCAAAATTTACCGTCCTATTCTCAACTCGACAAATTTTTAGAGTCTCGCATTCGCGCGTTCGAAGTTATCGCCCCGACAAAAAACATCGAGTCAGCCGAGACTACCTCGTCAAAAATTAAATCGGCCAAATCCGTAGCATCACATACAACGGCCGTGAAGTTCGAATGCCCGGTCTGTAAGGGCCATCATCGTTTATTTCAATGTACACAATTTGCCGCTTATACGCCGGAGCGCCGTTTCGAATTTATTAAATCGAACCGCCGTTGTTATAATTGTTTCGCGGCAAACCATGCGTTAAAGGATTGCACCAACAAGCATCGTTGTCGAGAATGTAAGCAAAAGCATCACACTCTCCTTCACCTTGGAAACCACGCAAAGTTACCGTATGCTGAATCGTCACATTCAAAAGAAGAGACGAAAAAAGACCAAGACAAAAACGTTGTCGCTCTTACCCTAACACGTTCAATGCCAGCTATTCCCGCCGTTCTGCTCGCTACAGCGCGCGTCCGCGTACATTCCGCGCACGGTCGCTTCATTCCCGCTCGCGCGCTTATCGATCCAGGATCGGCTGTGACACTCATTACGGAGAATCTTGCGCAATTACTCCGTCTTCCTCGAGTAAAGCAAAATTTAAGCGTTACTGGCGTTGGTCAAACAAAAACTTCCGCACGCTACGCAGCAAATATCAAAATTAGTCCCGTAAAAAGTAACAATCCCGCGTATTCGACGACGGCTTTAATATTGTGTTCGCTCGCGGAATACGTGCCACCTCCCGTTGCGTCTCACACTAAGTGGACGCACCTCGACGCCCTCGAATTAGCCGATCCTGATTTCCTGAGTCCTACGCCAATCGATATAATAATTGGAGCCGATATGTATGGAAATATTTATCGCGACGGTTCACACAAGGGAACACCACACGAACCGTTCGCGCAGAATACCGCGTTCGGCTGGATTCTCTCGGGTCCTACCGTCGAAACCTGCCCCCGCAATTCCGTACCCGCATATCATACTAACATTTCACCTAATCTTGAGCATACCTTAAAACAGTTCTGGGAACTCGAAGATATCCCAGCCCGCGTTCATCCGAGTCCGGAAGACACCCAATGTGAGGAGCATTTTGTGACGACTCACTACCGCACCATGGAAGGACGCTACGTCGTGCGTTTTCCCTTTAGAAATGGCCCGCCTCGCGACCTTGGAGACTCTCGATTCGCCGCGTTGAAGAGTCTCGAACGGCTCGAACGTCGTTTTCGAACCGACCCATCGTTAGCAACGGAATACACCGCATTCCTTACCGAGTACGCAAACCTAGGTCATATGACTAAGATAAATCCTACCGAATTTCCCGCCCAAGCTCCCGCGTACTACATTCCACACCGTGCCGTGATCCGTGAACATAGCAATACAACCCGACTTCGTGTTGTGTTTAACGCGTCGTGCAACACCGCCACCGGCAAATCATTAAATAGCGCTCTTCATGTAGGAGCAAAATTGCAAACCGATCTAGTAGCGGTCGTCCTCCAATGGCGACAACCTCGATTTGCACTATCAGCGGACATCGCCAAAATGTATAGGCAGATTTTAGTACACCCTCTCGATACGAAGTATCAATGCCTCTTATGGCGATCGTCTCCGACGGCTCAGGTCGACGAATACCGACTTCTTACCGTCACTTACGGCACCGCCGCTGCCCCATTCTTGGCCTTGCGAGTCTTACGGCAATTAGCCGAGGACGAAGGCTCACAGTTTCCGCTCGCGGTACCGGTTCTATTACAGCAAACGTACGTCGACGACTGTACTTTCGGCGCCGACGACCTTGAAACTGCCAAACAAACACGAGATCAGTTAATTTCGTTGCTATCTCAAGGCTGTTTTCGTTTGCGTAAGTGGGCGAGCAATTGCCCTACGCTCCTTGAAGATCTCGATCCTTCCGACCATGGACTCGCAACCAACAAAGATTTGCACGATCACGATTCCATTAAAATTCTCGGAGTTACCTGGAAACCGGAACACGATATCTTCACCTTTCAAGTTTCGAATTTAATAACAGTCGCGAAAACTAAGCGCGGAATATTATCAGTCATCGCGCAACTCTTCGACCCACTCGGGTGGGTAGCTCCCGTTATCGTAACCGCGAAAATTTTCCTGCAGCATCTCTGGTTGACGAAGTCTGATTGGGATGACGAGCTTCCCGCCGAGATGTTGCGCGAATGGGAAACATTTCAATTGACGTTGCCTCTCCTTGAGCAGTTAACTATTCCGCGCTGGACGCAGTATCATCCGAACAACAGAATTGAATTACACGGATTCGCAGACGCCTCCACGCGAGCGTATGCGGCAGCGCTTTACCTCCGTGTCATTTCGGGCGACGGTTGCATTACCAATACTCTGATCCTCGCTAAGTCTAAAGTCGCGCCGCTCAAAACCATTAGCGTCCCGCGTTTGGAGCTTTGCGCTGCGCTCCTACTAGCACAACTCATAGATTTCGCTCGTTCTGCTCTTCACCTTCCCGATATCGATTATTGGTGTTGGAGCGTTTCCATGGTCGTCCTCGCTTGGATACGTCAAAGTCCCTCGCGGTGGAAGACGTTTGTCGCGAATAGAGTCTCAAAAATGCAACAGCTTCTTCCCAATGGAAAATGGAATCACGTGCCCACGCACGGCAACCCCGCAGATTGCGCATCTCGCGGTACCGACCCTGCCTCTCTTATTAATCACCAACTTTGGTGGCACGGCCCACCATGGTTATCACATTCGTTCAATCAATGGCCAGTCATATCCGACATCCCGGCAACGCATAGTGAATTACGCGATTCAAAAGCTTGCGCGACATGCTCGGTAAACCATTGGGAGCTTGAATCCCGATTTTCCTCGTGGCCAAAATTACTGCGCGTCACCGCGTATATCCTTCGTTTCGTTCGCAACGCTCGTACCCAGACCAAAACACAATGCGATGCCTCTTACTCGCACCCGCATGCTCTCCGGTCCGATGAGCTGGTCGCCGCTCATAATTTTTGGATTCGACGGATTCAACTCAATCTATTTGCTGACGACATAGCTCGCCTAAAACAACTACGTTGCGTCTCAAAAACTAGTCCATTTGCTTCGCTTTCTCCTTACATAGACAGAGACAGCTTGTTACGCGTTCGAGGCCGATTAAAGCACGCAAGCCTGTCAGATGACGCTAAACATCCGCTAATTTTAAAATCACATCCATTGGTCCACCTCCTTATTAAACAGATTCATGTTGCGGCCCTACACGCCGGTCCGCAACTCACACTCACGCTCCTGCGACAACAGTATTGGCTAATTCGCGCTCGCGCCACTGTGCGTACCGTCCTCTACCAATGTATTGTGTGCACACGGGAGAATGCACGCGTGCCCGAACAGCTTATGGGCGACCTGCCGGATTTCCGCGTGAACCCGACTTCACGCGCCTTTAATCATACCGGCGTCGATTACGCGGGTCCGTTACTAGTGCGTACGACTAAAGGTCGTGGTCATAAAGCCCAGAAGATTTGCCAATATTTTGTGGAAGTATGAACTTATTACATTCATAATTAATTACTGTATTTTAATCAAATATTTTTATATTTCTTATTCAATTCGGTTAAAATCGTAGATATTTTGTAGATATGAACTGGTAATTATCTATAGTTTCTGTTATCGATATCAGTAGGCGCGACGGCGTCGCTCTAATTCAAATTATTGTTGATCGACTGGTGGCTTGTACAGCCTCGTAAAGGCTCGCTCCGAGAGGAAAGTGATTACAGCAACGAACATATGTTTACTTGTATTTGCAGCTGATCGATAGCACGGTTCGCAGAGATCTGATTCTCGGTTTTCGGGAGCGTTCCGAGTTTTCGTCACGGAATCCCCTCTTTCTCGGGATCGGATGTTTGTTTCGGCGAATCGGAGCGACGAAAGAATAGGAATAAATAAAATGTACACGTGACAGCGTGACTCTTATCACATGGGATGGTGAACAAGGTCGATAATGTTGTCGTGTGTCGGTTCGAACGATCGAACCTTTCCGTTGATATACAAGCGATTAATATAAGAGTCTATTGATTATACAAATTTATGATATGCGTCAACATACCGTCCGCCTCGAATGTGATTGACATTCGATATGAATACAATATTTGCGGTCAATGAAATTTAACGTAAATTTACAATATTCAATCGGACAGTTACAATCCAATGCCGCCCACCATGGCGGAATGATGTTCGCTATCATTGTTGATGTCGACCGGAAGAAAACAAAGTTTTGTAATGGGGCGCTTGAACTCGGATTCAGCCGTTTTAACAGTAACGACTCGAACGAGCCGATCGCTGCCTGGATGGCATTTAACTATACGCCCAAGCTTCCATCGACTTGGAGGGGCAAGTGGATCGCGAAGTAAGACTAATCTACCGGGTGTGGCTAGAGTTTGTACAGAACGCCATTTAGGGCGTTGTTGTAAGGTATTCAAATACGTATCTTTCCATGCCTTCCAGACGCGTTCGCTTAATTGCTGCACTAGTTGCCAGCGAGATAAACGATTTTCGGCGAGTTCGAGTAAGCTCGGCTCCGGGATCGAGCTTAAGGATGCGCCGATCAAAAAATGACCCGGAGTCAGAGCGGTATAATCGTCTAAAGCGTCGGACACGGAAGCGATGGGACGAGAATTTAAGAAAAGTTCGATACGGCATAGTAATGTGGTTATCTCTTCGAACGTTAAGGTGTGCGTTCCAATAGCGCGTTTAATGTGATGTTTCACAGAGCGTACGGCAGCCTCCCATAGGCCTCCGAATTGCGGCGCAGCGGGAGGTATGAAATGCCATGCAGTATTTTCTTGAGCTATGTAATTTTGAAATGCTGGATCACGCGTGGCTGCATGGAAGGAGGCCGTAAGCTCTTGATCGGCACCTTGAAACGTGGTACCGTGATCGGAGTACATTGCATGCGGAATGCCACGACGTGCGGTAAAACGATGATACGCGGCAAGGAACGACGCGGTAGTATAATCCGATACTGCGTCTAGGTGCAGTGCTTTCGTGGTCATGCATACAAAAATTGCGAGGTAAGCTTTTTGGGCTTTATGACCACGACCTTTAGTCGTACGCACTAGTAACGGACCCGCGTAATCGACGCCGGTATGATTAAAGGCGCGTGAAGTCGGGTTCACGCGGAAATCCGGCAGGTCGCCCATAAGCTGTTCGGGCACGCGTGCATTCTCCCGTGTGCACACAATACATTGGTAGAGGACGGTACGCACAGTGGCGCGAGCGCGAATTAGCCAATACTGTTGTCGCAGGAGCGTGAGTGTGAGTTGCGGACCGGCGTGTAGGGCCGCAACATGAATCTGTTTGATAAGGAGGTGGACCAATGGATGTGATTTTAAAATTAGCGGATGTTTAGCGTCATCTGACAGGCTTGCGTGCTTTAATCGGCCTCGAACGCGTAACAAGCTGTCTCTGTCTATGTAAGGAGAAAGCGAAGCTAATGGACTAGTTTTTGAGACGCAACGTAGTTGTTTTAGGCGAGCTATGTCGTCAGCAAATAGATTGAGTTGAATCCGTCGAATCCAAAAATTATGAGCGGCGACCAGCTCATCGGACCGGAGAGCATGCGGGTGCGAGTGAGAGGCATCGCATTGTGTTTTCGTCTGGGTACGAGCGTTGCGAACGTTATATCACGCATTTTTTGACGCTTTGTTTCAGGATCCTTTTGGTACTGATCACGCACCATCTGAAGTTTTGTTTCAGGATCCTTATGGTACTGATCACGCACCATCTGACGTTTTGTTTCAGAATCCTTATGGTACTGATCACGCATCATCTGACGTTTTGTTTCAGGATCCTTATGGTACTGATCACGCACCATCTGACGTTTTGTTTCAGGATCCTTATGGTACTGATCACGCACCATCTGACGTTTTGTTTCAGGATCCTTATGGTACTGATCATGCATTATCTGACGTTTTGTTTCAGGATCCTTATGGTACTGATCACGCATTATCTGACGTTTTGTTTCAGGATCCTTATGGTACTGATCACGCATTATCTGACGTTTTGTTGCAGGATTCATAAAATATTTTTCTTTGTGAGAAAAAGCATCTTTTTCGATTCGTTTCGAACGCTGTTCCTCAGTTTCCTTACTACGTGCAAGTCTTTTTCTCAGTGCATCCCTCTCTCGTCTTTTCAATGTCTCCAACGGCAGTAGCGTTAATGGAGCAATTGAATCATAGAGGTACGGAAAATGAGTTATTGTTTGTTTTTCAAACATTGCGGACAAATGAGGTCTTAGCAACGATTGATTATACGTCACGATGCAAGGATTTACGCCAAACAGAATAGATGTAACAATCGCAATTGCCATAGGACCACAATTATAACCGTCACCTTGCGACTGAACTTTAGGAAAAACTATTAGATTGTTTTGACAATCATGAAAGGGAAATAATCTGTCCACAAAAATTCGAATTTCTCCATTCAAATTATGTATATTTGCATTACGACTACCTTCATGAGAATCATATATAATAATAGATTTTGCATCGTAATGGCAAGCAACCCAATGTCCACCACCAAAATCACTGTGCAGTATTTGCAAATGCTTCTTCTTTGAAATATTCAGTGGAACAATCTGATCGGGAAATATTGTCAACCATACAGGTCGAGGTGCATAATCAGAATTGCTCTCGAGTAGCGCATGGAAACTGTCTATCATCGTTTCCGTCAACCATTCTTTGAAAGCCAAAATATTCTTTTCCTTATTGCCATAATGGAACTTGTGACACTGATGATCCATTTTCAGTTGTTTGGGACAGTTTTAGTTATAGATATACGGCGTTTGGGGCAGCCTTCTAGTGATGCAAGTATCAAATAAGATTTTTCTAATTAGACGCCTAGAGCAGGCGAAAGGTCTGAGATATTGCAGACTAAAATGCTACAAAAGCGAATACTGTTAATTTGGATGTGTAATAGACCCAAAACAAAAATACTTTTTCTAATTGTATAGGCGCCACGGGCAAGCCAAAAATCTGCGCTATTACAGACGAAAACGCTATAATAGCGAATAATTTTAGTTTGGATACGTAATAGGCCGAACAAAATTAATTTTTGTAATTGGATGCAGGCGTCTAGGGCAAGCCAAAATTCAGCGCTATTAGCAGCCGATGTTCTAATTCAGCGCTTATGGCAGCTTTTATACAGCGCCTGAGCAGCCGATTAATTTTTTTTTATTTTTCCGGATCTGTAAAATAAAAAAGTTATATAAATACATTATAAATTATTTTAATAAACATATGCAAAGATTCAAAATTATTACACTAATTAAACAATACTTCAGAAACTGCAGTTAAAAAGAAATGAAATTACATCTGTTCATTTTTCTTTTGTATAGTACTTGTAATTCACGTAATCACATTGACACGTCAAAATAGTATTTATTTATTATTATTGTAAATAAATCATCATTGCAGTAGACCTAAAATTTCTTAAAATTAAAAATCATAATCGAAAATTTGAAGTAAATCTAATTTTTTTTATAAATAGAAATATTCTATTTTTTTTTAATTTATCGATTCTTCACTATATATTTGATTCAATAATCTTACCTCAAGATTTTTATGCACAAAATGATGAATACCAATCGAAGTTAAATGCCTATCTTTGTTTTCCCTTTAAACTAAACAACTTTTGTCTGAAATTTTCCTATATACTTTCGAGATATTTAATAAGTACAAAATTTACTTATGAAATAGGTATTTCTGTACAAACAAGATTTATAAATACAGGATTTACTTACAGATTAAACAAGAATTTTTAAGAGGCATTGATGATTTATTGATAATAAAACTTCCTACGACATTTAAATAAACTTGTTAAATATGCAAGACGAAAAAATGTTTCAAACAAACACCATAGGATTTGAAGAAAGACAGATGATGCTGATATTCATTTGACCTTGCAGAGATCTTGAAAATTCCTGTTAACGTTAACCCACTAAACATGAAATATACATGCAATGTTTCAAATTGTTTCATTTAGATTTCAAATGATACATTTTACGTATTTGTTTTTGATATAATTCATAAATGTTACAATTGAAATATTTCATCATAGTATATATTAAAAATATTTCAAATGAAATATCTCAATTGATATATATTTAAAACATTCCAAAGTTATCGTTTTAGGTATATTTACAAAATAATAGTAAAATAAATATTTATGTACACGATTAGATAATCGCTTACATAATTTGGAAAATGGCAATCACGTATTACATTCAAATTGTGTTTATTTATTATAAATAAATTATTAGAGAGAAATATTGAAAAATATTGAATAACATAATTAGAATACGTTGTATATAAATATTTATATAAATGGTCTTGTTTTAAAATTGTATTATTATTTAAATGCTTAGAATGTATATATTTTGTTATTATATATTTATTTATATATTTATATTTTTTTTATATTGAAAAGATTCATTTTTCTTTTTCCTTTTTTTAAATTAATAAATTTTATTAAATATTTGTTTGCCAATTAAACAAAAATGTAATCGTACACCAGCAATTACTTTTCAAAATATTATTTTTCTTGTGTGTGAATAGTTTCATATAATATCTGGATTGCAAATATATATTGTTAATAATAATAGTTTTGTTGCATATCTATTATGCATATAATTTGGAAATAATATAATTTAATAATTAAAAATTGCAAACAGAATAATATATTCACATATTTATATTTATTATATTATATCTGCACATATTCATATTGATGAGATAATTGTTTATTATATAAAATCATGTGCGTGATAATTAAATATTTTCTATGCAATCAAATTAATAAGGAATATAATGATTTAACATGATTATATTCTAAATCTGTTGGTGAAAACGTTACGTGCAACAAATATATACAATTTAAGTTATTAAAATTTTATTATTTTTGTAAAATATCATTGACTTTGTAGAATACTTGAAAATATTACAATTCTATTTCTTAATAATAAATTAATTAAATTTAATAAAGGAAATAAAACATTTTATCGTGTTCTGATATTGGACTTATTAACCATAGCGTGTAATTAAATATTATAGGTCTACGCTTATTGTGATAAAGCTCTTTGATTGTTAATGCAAAATTAATACCTAATCAAAACATCACATACCAATGCTCAAGCTCGTATGACAATAAAAACAATGATAAATTATTAAATTAAGGCCATGTGTAACGAGCAATACGATATTATTTTATTATTGAGAAGAAAATTCTTAATTTGAAATAATAATTATACAAACGTTTCGAGCTCTACTTGCTCCTCTTCAGTGCGCAAAAAAATAGTGATAATAAATAACGATAATAAATAAATACATAAAATTCTAATAAAAAATCCGCAATA